GGAGAGACGGAGAGAGGGAGGGAGGGAGGGAGGGAGTGGGGGAGAGAGGGAGAGAAAGAGAGGGGGAGGGAGAGAGAGAGTCTTAAGCAGGTTCCATGCCCAGCGCAGAGCCCGATGTGGAGCTCAACCCCACGAGCCTCAGATGATGACCTGAGCTGAAATCAAGAGTGGGACCCTCAACCGACTGAGCCACCCAGGTGCCCTGTGTGCTGTGCCATCCTTAAAATCCAGAGGACTCAATGTGGTATTCAGGGTTCCCAGCGGCTGGCCTCAGCATCCCGTCTCCTACCTTTCCAAACTTCTCTCCCACACCTTGCACTAACGTGGTCTGCTCGCGGCTCTCGGAGCACCCTTGGGGCCTCCTGCCTCTGCACTTCGGGTCCTACCATTCTTCTTACCTGCATATTCTCTACATACCTGTCTGAGTCTTACCCATTCTTCAAGGCAATAATCACCTCCCTCTTGTCTCCTGACGATTCCCTCTCCAGAGGTCACCCCAACCAGATCAATTCTGACATATACCTGTACTGGTTACTTTAAAAAGGGGGAGGTTTTCTATCATCTTCCCAACTAGATGGTAAAATTCTTTAAGGGAGAGGTCAGAGTTCCCACTTCCTTGGGTTCTCCCTAAGCGGCTGCACAGTACACGACACAACCCTGGTACTTGGCAAGGATCTGGGTTAACTTATGAGTAAGACTTACAATTCCTTAGTGCATCCAATGCCCACCGTTCTTCTGAGGCAGGCAAGTGTGGGTCTGGGGTTGTGATCTGATAACTTGCTCCAGCTTCCTGCAGAGTCCCATCTGCATGCTGCTCCTTAGCAAACTGTCTCTCAGCCACAAACAGATCATCTACCTCGGATTTCCCAGAGGTACCGAGTGAATGAGACTGAGGTTTTGACGATATTAAGGGAGACTCTAATCCCAAATCTCTGTCTGTTCAATGGAACAGAAAAAGCAGAATAGATCTTAAACAAAGCTTTTAATTTTTAACGTGAAGCATTCAGGAAATACTTGGAACAAAAATAACCACATGAGTACAGAGATCATCGGCTGTTAAGTAAAATATACAACACTTAGAGCAGTGTTATAAGGAGACACAGACGGCTCATAAGCGCAGTTTGTGAAAGTAAACAGCTGACACGAGAATCTGCATAAATCAAAAGACTTCGAGTTTCTTTGCCTTTTCACAAGTAACACACAGGCTACATTCTTCCAGGTTACCCTAACAGATCAGTTTACCTGGACTCTGTAGACCAGGGACCGAAATGCTGTGATGTTCCACTTTTAACTTGGGAGCTGCTTCTTCATCGTTGTCTCCTCTGTGGAAGAAGGAAAACAACCTTTCAGCTTCATGAGGTGCCTAAACATCACTGCAACGAAATGTAAGAATCATCCATTCCCTTCCTGACCAAAGCCCAGAGTCAGTCCGACTACGATGCAGACTACGACTCACTCGCAAGGTGGTGACTGTGGCAATGGGATTGGCTTTGCAGACTGTTCCTTCACGGATGCAGCCATCCGACAGATGAGGTCTTGCCAGCTGCAGGAAGTTTGAAAGGGATCCAAAATCCAAAAGGGAAAGGGAAAAAAAAAAGCCCTTTAAATACACTCAGAAAGAAATAATAACAAAAACAAACCAGAAACCAAAGCAAGCCAATCCAACAAAAAAACCCTACTTCCGCCAGAGAGTGTCTTTATTTTGGCAACGTAAGTAGAGGTTATAAAAAATGGCTGTACCTTAAAGAAAAAGCTAACCAACAACATTATGGATACACTTCGCATTAAAAAACTTCACTTGGCACTTCTGAGAATTTTTCTTTAGAAAAGATACTTTCAGTAGTATAGAATCAAAATATGGGACATCAATCCTTTAAAAAGGAACACGTTCTTAGAAAAACATCTCGAGAAGGAAACAGGACAAGTGCTTGTTTCAAAGTAGTTTTTGGTTTCCAAAGTACTATTACAAAAACCAAGTTAAGCTGATAGAATAGTATGTTCAGGATAATAAAAACTATTAGAGAAAGGTAGCGCTATCTAACACATACACGGTCTTTTCGGAAACAGTCTGTGCCACCAGTTCATAAATTTGGGCTCCATTGTCTGACATGGAGATGACAAATAAAGCTTTGTTATCTGGAAGAAAGAAGACAGAAATTACTCTAACAACATGAATATGACCTACAGAGGCCATGAAGGATGATGCTTCTAGGGTCCCGGTTCATTATGCACCTTAATCTGGGTAAAGGTTAATGGCTCACTTTGTAAAAATTCATCAAGCTATACACTTAAAATTTGTGCGACTTATTGTATGTTACATTGTATATACTATACTTCAACAAAACCAAGATCATAAAAACTAGCAGGGATTCCACAGTAACTTCACAGAAACAAGGAGGTGTCCATATATCTGAATGACTGAACACTAGGACGTTTTTGCATTTACTTTGAATTGCCCTTTTGCTAAACAGTTACTTAATAATATTCAATAAATGGTAGAGAAAAGAGGTCACCAGTTTATCTTGCTGTTATGGAACTAACAGGTTTTAAAAGGGACTCCACTGTTACCACAGTTAATATATAATTTGCTAACTTAAACTGATTTCAAAAATCCCAAACTACACCCACCTCTCCGTTTTTGTTTGTTTGCTCTTTTATCACAAGTCAAAAAGCATACCACTCTAAGGAAAGCCTTTTCATTGGGATTACCTCTCAATGCACCATCTTCCTTGGTGTCTGTCTATGATTTGAACATGGAATAAAGATCAAAGTAGCGTGCAGGAAATTTTCAAGTGCAGAAAACTGCTCAGAGGAACCTAGGCTTCTCAAGTAATTTGGGGGTATAAACTCTTAATTTACTTTCTAAGCAGTAAATACATTTCATTTCATTTGTCTAAGAATACAAAGAAACAAAACTCTATACTAGTCAGGCTATTTGAACAATACCGAATATCTCGTGCAACTTTATGATGAACCTGAGGGTTACTGTCACTCCGTGGACATACTTGCCTGTTGCCACTTGTCGAACCAACACTGTATTCAACTTAATGACAGGGCTAAATGTGTGTTTGCTATCAGCGGTAGACGCCAGAATCTTACTATGACATCTTAACACCAGTCTGTCATCCTGCTTTTGTAACAATACAAGAATGTCTTCGAGCAGCAATGTGTATAGATCTAGAAACCAAAGTGGGGAGAAGGCGATTAGCGCAGAAACTGAGATGTGTTTTATAAACTTTACAACAATTTGACAGAGAAAATTTATTTCTGTTAAATCTAATACGTTTTAAAAATTGACTTGCTATTGTCTTTTTTAGTTTCATTTTTTAATAATTCATTTTTATATTGTATCACACCAAAGTGTCAGTCTGTGACTGACAAGAAATAAAAAAAAACCAATGATTCCTCATTATAGATAGTTTGAAATGGAGTGGTTTAAAGAAAGCTTATTAGAAAGCTCACTGGAATACATGAATGCTGGAGACAGGACTGAACCATGACAAACTTTTCTGCTTCAGCCCTCAGTGAATATTTAACGCACTTCACCTAGAACAAAATAACATAAGCAGATCTTCTGCAAAAATAACACAGAGCAGCACTGCTCACTGCTGTCGCTGAAACTTGTAAATGGCTGTCTCTTATCTTCCGCCTGACGGAACTTTACTTCCTCCACTCTCCCTAAAACTGACGGACATTACACCTACCAATAGTTTTATCTCGATTCACCTTCCAGACCAATGGCCCTTCGTGGATCATCTTCCTTTTTGTTAAATCCAAATTCTGCCAAAATAAAGAGAATTACACACAGATTATTTCCAAGCACTTAGTGTGATGATATTCCAGAGAGTCTCTTTTCAAGAAATTCCTCATGTAAAAGATACCATTTACTTTCACTATCATTACTGGTATCTGCCAACTACTGAACATAGAATGAAGACTAAGTTACAGTAAGCTGCATACAATTTCCTAAGTTAGAGGTATCTTGTAGAAAAACATTCAGGAGTGCTGCCTCCTAAATCTCACACTAAATATATGATAATTGCTTATGAAAATGAAGTTACAAACATTCAGCCACTGGATTTGCAGCCCATCCCCTAATTTTTCTATGAATAATTAGATGAGGATAATGCATAGCTTATCTATCTGTAAGAGGCCTGTGAGTGCCAGGCTCTAGTTACAGAGTTCTAAGGAATAGTACTCATGAAAAAGTCCAGGTAGTACTTGACCTTGCTCCATATATTAATAATTTATTTATTTTTTAAAGATTTATTTATTTGGGAGGGGGGAGCAGCGGGTGAAGGAGAGAGAGAAACCCAAATAGACTCCTCGCTGAGCATGGAGCCCCATGTGGGACTTGATCCTGAGACCCTGAGATCATGAACTGAGCTGAAACCAAGAGTTGGACGCTTAACCAAAGGAACCACCCAGGCGCCCCTAAATACTAATAATTTAGTAAGAGAATCATCTCTCAGTATAGGTAGCTCTAGAAAAATCTCATTCTCTGGAAGTGAAGGGGCTGAGCATATTAAGCATGCTTTTGATAAGCTGTTATATATGATATAAAAGTCTAGTTTACTAGCCACCAAATAAATCTACTCAAACAACCACCTACTGAAACAGTACAAGAAAGACTGAAAATCCCAAGCAGTTCCTTAATACAAAAGCCCCACATGATAGATAAATACTTTACTATCATTCCTGTAATGGTTTCAACATTTCTGCTTTTGAAGAAGCTTCATGAAAACATTATCTTGTTTTACTCAATAATCTGGAAAGTTCCCAGAGCAAACACCCCTACTCTCATTCACTTTATAAGAACACAATAAAATTAAATAACTAACGTTCCTTAAGTCGCCCACAAATCGTTACATAAAGTTAGTTTTACACAAAATATTCCTCTAATGAAAGACTAAAGTCATCTTCACATAGACCAGACGTTGAAAAGGAAGAACAGAATCATAAATATAGACAATCTGTGATATAAGAACTTCTTCAGGTGATGGATGCCCCTCTGAGATGTTAATACCCTGCCAGGTCTTTAGTAAATTGTATTTTATTATTTTTTAAATTATGATTAGACCATCTCTCACCCTGAGCTCTTCCACGTTTGGGTACTCTGACAACTTCAGATTGGAGGTATCCAGACGACGCTGATAGTCTTCTAAACGCTGAAAATTAAGACAAGATAAAGCCAAGGTTACTGCTTTGGGTATCAATGGTCTCCCTGTTCTGAAGCCAAATGGATGTTTTTCACCTGCATTTTACAGAGCTCTCTGCAACACTAGACATGACTGACAGCTCTTTCTTTCTTTCTTTGAGAGCGAGCACATGGCAGTAGGAGCAGAGGGAGATGGAGAGATGGAGAGATAAACTCAAGCAGACTCTGCACTGAGCATGGAGCCTGACAAGGGGTTCAATCCTAGGACCCTGAGATCATGACCTGAGCCAAAACCAAGAGTCAACGCTCAACCAATTGCACCACACAGGTGCTCCATAGCTCGCTCTTTTTTTTTTTTTTTTTTCAGCTCACTCTTTCTTAAACCACCCCCTTTCCCTGGCTTTGGAGACATCACACCCTCCTAGTCTTCCTCTTCCCTCTTTGGCTATTTTTGCTCAATCTGCTTTTCAAACTCACTGACCTCTAACTAGCTTATGGTTATTTTTTGAATATATAAGTATGTACACGGTACAAAATTTGAAAAGTAATATAAGGCACACAATGAAAATGAAGTCTCCCTCCAATCCTGCCCTCTTGCCTCGCCACCCCCAATTTTCTCTAAAAAAGCAATCTCTAATACCCATTTCTTAGGTAGCCTACGAGAAAAATTCTAAGCAAAGAGAATATATGCATATATAAGTATGCTTGTCTCTGTACATGTTGTGTGTATATATATCCTTTTAAAAAAGATATGGTAGCATAATATATTAATATATGTACTACTCAAATGGTGACATGATCACATACACATCTCTGTGTGTTTATTACTCATCAATGTATCTTGAAGAGTGCTCTACATTAACACATACAGAGAGAACTCACTCTTTAAATGGCTGTATGGTATTCAGCTCTATGAATGATCTACAGTTTATCTAACTACACTTTACTGATGGAGATGAAGTTACTTCCAATCTTCTCCCATAACAAATAAATACTGTTATAGCATGGCCTTAAAACATATATTTTTATAGATACGTGTAGACATACCTGTAAGATAAATTTCTAAAGAAACAACTATTATATCAAAGCATATGTGTATTTTCCCCAAGATTATAAAAATGTCAAAGTATATAGAAAAGTCTGAATATGTATAGTGAGCACCCATATACCCACCACTTACATTCCAGTTAATATTTGATATATTTGTTTTATCATAGGTCTGTTCATTCCTCTAGCTATCCCTCAGTCCACCATATATTTTGAGTGCATTTCACAATAACTTACAAATGTAAGCACACTTTACCTTTAAACATTTTAGTGTGCATATCATTAACAAGAGTCTGATATTTAGTTATTTTTAAAGTAAAATTTACATACAGTGAAATGTATATATTTTAAGTGTACCTTTCCACAAGATTTCACATATGCATGCAGCTGCGTAAATGCCTAGCAAGATATGAAATATTGCTATCACCACAGAACGTCTCCTCATGCTTCTTCCTAGTTAATATCTGTCCCCACATGCCCAGTGACAACCACTTTTCTGACCTTTTTCCCACCACTGATTAGTCTGTTCTAGAAGTTCATAGAGATAAAATTCTACACACACACACACTCTTGTCCGCTTTCTTTCACTCAGCACCATGTTTGTGAGATTCATTCATGTCATATGTATCAGGAGTTCATTCCCTTTTATTGCTGGAATTTATTATCCTAGTTTATGACTATACCTCATTCGGTTTATGCTAGAAACATTCTTGTACAAGTCTGTGGGCACAGATCTTCATTTCTCCTGGGTAGATCACTAGGAACAAAATCGCTGGGTCAAAGGGCAGATGTATGAATATGTGCATTTTTAATTTAGGTACATATTGCCAAAGTGCCCTCTGGGGTTTTATCATTTTACACTCCAAACAACACATTTGAAAGTTCCTGTTTTCCTACAGCCTCATCAACAGAGCTGTCGTCATACTCAGTTCCTAAGAAATTATATCCAGGTCCAGGGATTCAATTAGTTCTATATATGCTCACAATTTACGTTTTTCTCTTCGGCACAGTCCTCTCAGTCCTTTTCTCTTCGGCACACCTCTCAGAGGTGGATCCATATTGCCAAATGCATACTATACATTTTCACCTCATATCCCAAACTGAACTCTGCATCTGCCCCACAAATCCAGGGCTTCTTCCCTCAGCCTGTCCACCCAAATGTGCAAGCCAGAGACCTGGGACTTATTCCTACCATCACATCTCTCTTCAAATCCTTCTCTAAATCAGTCACCACATCCTATCAGTTACCTTCTAAATACTTCTCCAATTCTTGCATCTCTTGAGCCACCACCATTTGTCCTGAACTGCTGCAACAAACTAGGCTGAGCTCTTTCACCCCCTCTCTGTCCCCTTCAGCCCATTCTCCATAGACTGGTGTGAGTGGTACTTACAAGGCGAAAAATCTGAACACACCATTCTTCTTAAGTGTCTATAATGAATTCCTACTGCTCTCAACATCAAAATCTTTTAACATTGTCCACAGTAGGGCCCTGTATGACTTGGCTCTGATCTACTGTACCTCATTTCACACCATTCTGACTTTGCTTTTTAAGCACGATCCACACTAACCTAATCTTTCCGTTCCTCAAACAGGCCATGCTTCCTTTTTACCCCAGGGCTTCTGTATATGCCGTTCCCTCTACTTGTAAGGTTGCCCCCTTCCACATTCTTTTGGTTTATTTCCATTTACTTTTCAGAGCTTGGCTTAAATGTCAATTCCTGAAGGAAGATTTCTCCAATGGCCACCACCCAACACCCTCAAACCAGGCTCACCCCACCCTCCCCCACACTATTACATATTCCTAGCATCCCAAAATTCTCCTTCATAGCAGCTATCACAACTCATATAAAATACTTGCACTAAAATCTGTTCAATACTTTCTATCCTGCTAGAAAATAAGCTCAGTGTGGGCACTTATTTATTTATTTAAGCACCCTATATCCTACACTCAGCATCCACTCAGCATACAGATGCTCTAGAAATATTTGCTGAATGGATAGATGAATGAGAGAGCAAACAAGTAGCTAGAGATGCTCAAAAAAGCCAAATACAAGTGTGATGTTCTACCACAAAATTGGTCTGGACCCACCTACTACATGAATAGCTACCAAATGCCCCATCTGTCAATTATGTAATGGTAATTCAATTACTATTTCACAGATCACAGATAACACTAACTTAATACGCTCACTACATCATCCTGTATCTCTGCTTTCCGCCTTCTTACCTGTTTGTTTTCTGCCTCCTTGACAGCCTGATTTACATAATTTAAGATCTGACGACAGTGATCTGCGGCTTTCTTCACCTTCTCCCTTTCCATTGGCCATTCTAAGCATGGGGTGGGGGGAATCCAGAATGTAAAATAAAGGAAATCAGAAAGGAACATAAATATATATATGTAAATGAGATATCATTTGATGTCAGCAGTTAGAAAACATACTAAGACCTTGAATTTTTTTTTTTTAAGATTTTATTTATTTATTTGACAGAGAGAGACAGCGAGAGAGGGAACACAAGCAGGGGGAGTGGGAGAGGGAGCAGGGAGCCCGATGCGGGGCTCAATCCCAGGACCCTGGGATCATGACTTGAGCCGAAGGGAGACGCTTAACGACTGAGCCACCGAGGCGTCCGACCTTGAATATTTTTATACCGGGCTAAAATCTATGGCAGAATCTCAATTCAGATAATCTTTGGACAGATGAGACATCTTATGACAGTACACTAAAACATAAATACTCATCTTTAAAAAGAAGCCATTGTATAGAATACCAAGTTCAAGAAGCGATGCTTTAAATCAAGTATCAGCCCCCCATGTTATGCACTCCAGGGAGTGGGTCTCATTCACGTTGTAAGCTATATAAATGGGACCCCTTCTCCCCTTAGAATCTCCCCTGAGTGCAGAGCCTATGTGATTATGTCCAGTGGACTTGTTAAGCAATAATTTTTAAATGATAACATAATTCAAAATAACTCCAGAATAAATTTCTTTGAATTTGAGATTACATTTATTTTATTTATTTATTTGAGAGAGAGTGCCAGCATTAGGGGCAGAGGGAGAGGGAGAAGCAGACTCCCCTCTGAGCAGAGAACCCAATGTGGGGCTCGATCCCAGGACCCCGGGATCATGACCTGAGGTGAAGGCAAGACGCTTAACCAACCGAGCCACCCAGGCGCCACTTGAGATTACATTTAAGGAAAGAAAATAGACTAGAGCATTTGTATCATTAAAAGATGAAATTTACCAAAATGTGTTGAGATTACATTGAAGCCTACATTGTAAAGAATGCCAAAACTGGAATATTTAAAATTACAATCCTCTGAACAACAGTCCACCTATATTGAACAGGTATATTAAAGTATAAAAATTGGGCGCCTGGGTGGCTCAGTTGGTTAAGCGACTGCCTTCGGCTCAGGTCATGATCCTGGAGTCCCGGGATCGAGTCCCACATCGGGCTCC